GTACTTTGAGAACCCCTGATCTAGCCTGATGAAGGTTTTTGGAAAACTTAAAAGCTTGCACACTGTTTTGTGAAACTTTCAACAAAAGGGTTTTTATTGTATTTTTCCTGCCTGTATCTTGGTGGTGTAATGTAATTTTTCTTGCATGACTTTTGCTTTGTTTACCATCAGCATATTTCAGAAAGCAATGCTGTTTTGTTTCTACTTACAACAACAGAAAAGGAAGCTCTGTTGCCAGAGTCTGAAGTCCATATAGGAAAGGCAGATGCAACCATCCTTCTTTCATGTCCATTATAAACATTGCATGCATGTAAAAAGGACAGGCCTACGATTGCTCCAGTTGTGCCCATCACTTTAATGCTGTTGACTCTCCACTATGGACACCCAAGTATCATTTAGTGCAGCCTAACTTAATATGGTATGCTGCAGGCGTATTGGCTGGGGATCATGGAATTTAGAATCCAACACATACGAAGGATATGTGTTATCCTTCTTAAGGATATGTGCTGTCCTTCAATTAATATTCTTAATTGAAAATAATATTAGCTCTGCTGTTCCCACTAGAAATTCCTATAAGCTGTAGGCAGATCTTTCTAAACTCCAGTAATAAGTCAGTTGAAAGAGTACTTTCCAGTGACCAGCCTTTCCATCACCCAAAATATCTGATTCCACAATTAAAACAAAGCAGGGAATGACTGATGTTCATTGTTATAGTTCAGTAGGTATGCAGAGAGGCTAAGGCAGTGTTTTTCAACCTTGGCAACTTTAAGATGTGTGGACTTCAAGTGGCTGGGGAATTCTGGTACATATCTTAAAGTTCCCAAGGTTGAAAAACATTGGACTAGGGGAATGGACATGTTTACTTGTTTGTAAATCAACAGTGCTGACTGAGAGCCAACAGCCAAGCAGCATTTGTCTTTTCTGACCTAACCAATATATGAGCTCAGTGGTGTCTCATCCAATTAGTACTTGTTTGTTGACCAGTGAAAAATGCTTTGGCCAGCCTCCTTTATTTCACACCCCATCTCTGTAACTACAATAAAAAGTTACCCTACCAACATTTCTTATTTATAGTGGGCAGCTGCCAAGCTTTTTATGCTGTTTTATGTTTGGGCCTTACCCTAGTAGTGATGTTTAGCTGCCACACTGGGAAAATGGGAGATGGAGTGACCCAAATTGCCCTCAAGTGGCAGCCCAGACTACACCATTATAATATAGCAGAGTAAAACAATAAAAATTCTGCTGTGGTCATCACTGCTTGAAATGGGAAATTCTCTTTGAGGGAAGGTTTAACATTACCACTTGGGAAAGCCATGGACTGATGTGATGATAAGGGCAGGACACAGCCTCATCTCATTTGTGGGGAGAACTTGATCTGCAAGTGGAATTGCACCCTCATCTATAAATGGCCCAGGTTTCCTTGAGAGTACTGTACTGTGCTGGATGTTTTAGATTGTGTAGCACTTTTAGTCTTGATAAGCACCAGTAGGTGATCTGAACTGCAGCAATAATTATAACATGGATTGATGCAGTGAATGTCTGTGATGGCTCACCGCACATGCAAGAAATTATTGAGCAACATTTTAGGTTAACCAGCACATTGAGCTATTTTTGCAGTATATAATACTTGTTTCAGTGCTTAAAAATCTTACTCTGAAGTGAAATATTTTCCTAATATAAACAGATTTATGAAAAAACATAACTGAACTGACATTTTTTTGCCAAGGGAAGCACATTTTTCATCTCTGTGGATATGAACACGTTGGCACACCTTTTCCTGTGGACTTCAGCATTCTAAAATGAGGATTTCCTCTGGGCTTCCCCTCCCTTGTACTTCCTTCCTTGTACTTCAGAATGTACCTATAAATTGAAGCAGTTTGCTCCTTGGTTAAATAGTTGAACCTGTGATTACTAGGAGTTGCTGCATAATGGAACAGATCATGTTTAGCTCAGGATGAAACTTTTTATCTATCTACAGTACTTACCTACTTGTCTGTCTATTGAATATTGTCCATGTTCCCCAGAGAATCTCCTCTTACTGTTCCTCAGTTGGGCATTGTCCTTTCCTATCCTCCCAAGAATTGTGCCACAATAACAGTTTTGTCTTTTTTAAAAAGATTATATGAAATAAGGAAGAAGTGGGGGAAATTGAAGAGGATTTAGTGGAAGGTTTCTAGATGGTTGATAAGGTTATCTGGATTTCTGCAAAATTCTATCAACAAGACATTAGTTGTTTTGCTTTTAAAAAGTTAAACTGGAAATATCACCCAGTTAGGGAACATTTCACTTAGCTCACCTATAAACAATGGCACTGTAGAGTCTTGATCAGAGAGCAGTTCTAACCCTATGGTTTAGCATCTTTTCAAACGGAGGATAAATCCAGATGTTCTGCCTTAAGCTTCTTTAACTATATGAGCCATCTAGTCCAGCATTTGCTACTGTGATGTTATCCAGATGCATTGGTTTACAATCCCCATTACTTCCAGGCAACATGGATATTCCCCACCATTACTGTATAATGCAGACAGTCCATAGCTTCCTAGAGTCTTCAAATAAAGTTTTTCTTTGCCTGCCTGGTGATCTCTGTTAACAGATTTCATGGGTTAAATTCTGAGTCTAAGACTAGTTGACTCATTATATGCACAAATAATGCGAACGGGGCAGTAGTTCCGGTCTACACTCATGAGAAGAAATGTGATCTTATTAGTGTTGAGAAAAAAGATACGACTTCCCAATCCATCCTACATTTCTGTTACTCTTTAGATTGATTTACTTCTTAGCTAGCCATAAAGTTGTAGTCTGCCCAAAGAGAAATGTTCATACAGTGTGTGATATATGTAGTTTTAAACATATTTTTAAAAATAATGTTTGAAGTGTTTTGACACTTGAGGAAAATACAAGAGTATTTTTTAAAATATAAATTAGTGTAAATGTAACATAAATTAATTTCCTTGGCAAATGCTTTCCATTATGTTGCAACTGATCTCGTAACTGTTAGATGGCTGGAAGGGAAAATGTGAATAAGAGTACTCCTTTGCCAGATGATCTTCATTTCTGGAACCTCATGTGGCCTTTATTTTTTAATTTATTAAAACTATTTCAAATTTGTCCTTTGTGGTTTTTTCCCCAGTATGTATTTCTAAAATGTCCAACTTGCGGTGATTTGTAGGAGTAAGTAATCTCCAGTTAGCTGGATGTGGATCTTCCGTTTCTAATTGCTGTTTTCTAAAACAGTTCTTTATGCATTATAGAATAGAAGCTTTTTGTATATATTTTTGTATATTTATTGTGTGTGTGCATATATATGTATATGTGTGTGTGTGTGTGTGTATATACCTGGCTCTTGCTAGGGTGGCACAAAGGAAATGTTGATGTTGGGAGACAGTGGGGAAAAATGGTTTTGAATGATTTTATTGCCTGGCAGTGGCAGCTACAGCAAGAAGTGAGTACATTATTTAATAAGAACTTTGACTTAGCTGGTAGCTTAGGAGTCTGGCCATATTTAAATGTAGAGTATCTCTAAAGCAGATGGCATAATAAGGTTAATGTATGAGAGAATTAGTCTATCTTTTGAAAAGATTGTTCAGTGTTGGTGAAACAGCTGATGCAGGATATTCCATTTTTTCCCTTAAGGAAAACTCTTATTAAAAAAAATTAAGGGGTTGGATTTGCCTCCTCTCCCACCCTGCAGAGACTGGCTTCACCCCCAGTTGGGCCATTCTATGTTTGTATTGGTGTTTTCAAATTTAGTAAAGAAAACCAATAGTGATGTCTAGCCAGCCATTATGACAACGGGTTGGAAACTGCTCTCAGCAGTGGTATAGCCACGTTGTTACTTCCCTTTGATGAATGCTGTGTTAGGTTAATGTGTGAATATCCCCATTGTATTAGATCTCTGAACATCTGGAAGATTTGAGGACAGGTAGGCTTGGTGTTCCTCATTTGAATAATTTCAGCATGACTTCCGATATGTGCATAAAAACCTCAAGAAAATAAGTGAAGAAGTACACATATACCAACCAGGGTGTTTCAAGGAGGATTAAATTAGCTAATCACAAAAGTACCATGATATAAATCTGTTATGTAAAGATTGTGATAATTATAGCAAATGCTGATGCCATGGAATAAATCTTAATAATTTAAGCACAGGTGTTCAAAAACAGGAGAGAAGGGGTTGACTTGTATTTCCATGCTCTGTACTTCTCCATTCCAGAGGCAATTATAGGATCATTGCAGAAATTATTTTTCCCAGCCAGATGTTGGGGGGAAAAGATCTAGGATTCTTCAACTTTGTTGTATGAGGAAAAGAAATAAGCATATTTATAGAAATCACAATTCCGTATTTTTTCAGAATGTTTGTCTAATATTCAGCTTAATCAGTGGATTGTGTAGTACATTCCACTTTTAGGAAACTTTCCGTACTGCCTTCTTTCTGAAAGCTGAACAGATAAGGCTTTGAAAACCTTTCCATCACAAAAATAAATAATATGCTCTCCACAATCATTCCCTTTTTTTTTTTGTTCTATCCGAGTTTCAGACTCTTCTATTCTGATTGCTCCCATTTCACCTTATTGACCAAAATAAAAATATCAGCTAAATAATATACTCATAACTTCCTTAATGTAAAAGACATATTTTCAGTGTTTAAGGATTATGAATTCAGCTTGCACCTAGCTAATTTCTGCAGTTGTCAGTAGGTCTGATTGCTAGTGATTAAGGGACACACATTCTCCAACCAAGCACCTTCCAGATGTGTTGAGGTTGGAACTCTTGAAATTCTGAACCTAACTTTTGGAGGATGCCAGATTAAGGAATTATGGACAAAGCAATAGGATGCTTTGCGGTACAAGGAGTCTGCGGGCATTGCATGATGCTAAATTGGCTGGGAGAAAACTCTTGAGTTTTGCATGTAGCTCAGTAGTTTCCTCTGCACTTGATGAAAAATATATATTGATATCTATCTACATTTAACTTTATGTATTTTCCCATTCCCCCAACAGCTGGCTTACCCCTTGCTGTTCTAAACTTGGCAAATATAAAGCCGTACCAGAGGGGCTTTTTCTGTAATGATGACAGCATCAGCTACCCGTTCCATGACAGTACCATCACATCTACTGTCCTCTACACAGTGGGGTTCACTGTGCCCATTTGTTCTGTAAGTAGCTAAATATACAGGCAGCTGTATGGGGAAAGTGTTAAGTATGTGTGGAGAATTCACCATTTCATCAAATTTTTGAACATAAAGACTTGGCTTCAGTGTAGTTGACTAATTATTATAATAGCTTAGAATCACTAGACTCTGTAAAACATATTGAAGTTCCTGTTATTGTCCAAAATAAGGTTGTCTCTTCCCAAATCTTTTGAAATGGCTAGATGAGAAATTGGATTCCTGTCGGTTGGAAAATGAACTGCAGAAGTATAATTTAAATCTAAATTACCAGAAGGCAGTACAGGAGATGCAAAGAAATGGAAAGGAAATAATGACAATACAATTTAGTTCTTGGAGAAGGTTTATCATAATGGGAAAAAATCCGAAAATGGCAATTAAGTTGTAATCCTATCCTCATTTGTCTGGGAATACGTCTCATTGAACTCAGTGAACAAGATTAGTTCCGCTAATCAGATTGGTGCAGAGCTGCTGTTTCCTTGTTCAGTGACACAGTGTACAGATTGCAACTTTTTGGTCTTTCGGAGTAGTTGGTCTTGTGGTGACACTTGAGCACCCAGGATCAGAAAGTTTATGGGTAATAGACATATTATTAACTCATGATAGAGCAGTAAATGGTGTAGATTTTTTTTTAATCTGAGTGGTATTATGTTTACATGAACTCTTTTTCCAGCTGTTTATTTTTAATCATAACTCAGTTTAGCCAATTGGTTTATGCAAAAACAGACACAAGAGGGAATATCTAAATACTTTTCTTTCAATATTATCTGTATCAGGTTTGACAAAGTTTTGTTCAGAACTGCAGTGGCGTTGTTGAGAGATTAGGTTCAAAGTTAAAGATTTTGAAACAGATAAAAATAATAAAAAACCCAAGACAATTATCACCTATTCCAACTCTGCACTCCAATATCCATGTCTATAAACAACTGATAATTAAAGCTTAGCTATCATCGCTGCATAGAAAACAAAATATTGCCTTTAAACTAGTCTCTGCTCCATATTACTACCTCACTCATGAATAAGGATATCTTCATCATCATTTGTAGGGTGATTAGATCTGTGCATTTCCTGAGAACTCAGTCTCATATTGTCCAAGAAAGTTTACTTCTACTCAATGTGTACAAGACTGCAGACTTTGAATTTTCTGGGATGGTCATATCAGTTGTGCTGAATACAATACAGAGGAAAAGAGAACCTGTCTTAACATCAGCCTGTCTCTTAACTTTTTGCTCCTCAAGTTAGTAGGCAAGATCCATCCTTCCTTCCTTCCTTCCTTCCTTCCTTCCTTCCTTCCTTCCTTCCTTCCTTCCT